CGCGGTGCTTCAGGGACACACACACACCCCCCCCCCCCGATTCCTCATCTTCCCACAGCATCGGATGAGGGTTGCTGGGAAAAGGCAGTTGGATCGAAAATGGAGAAGTTAACTGAAGTTTCCTGCTCTCGTAAACAGGAACAGCATCAGTGCTGCTGTAGTGGTGTAATAAGATAGGTCGTTTCTCAACAAAGCTGCAAGACCTTATCTGAATTAAGCCGTTCATGCTAACCGTCATTTCTGGGAGTTGTTTTGTGCCATGTTTCTGCGGTGGTGTTAGGAGGTGTGCGGGTGAATCAAGAGCACCGTGAATGTGGATGGGGACATTGCTGTCAGAGTTGTTACTTTTTATTTCCTTTGGGAGATAATCCGTCTTCATTAAATAGTGGCCTTGTGGAAAGTGGTTTCGGAGTACATATTTGTATCCCAGAATACGTGCTTTATAGGCATTGCTGATTGTCAACACTGAAAGTCCGTATTTCTCACTGTATTGGCAATTTTACATTGAAGTTTGTTTCGCGAGGGCGGTGTAGTCCTTAGTATATAGGGAGGGTGTAGCCAAAATCCACTTTCAGCAAGTATTTATTTATTTGCTTGATTTTAGAAAAAAAACCAAACTATTTAATTAACTAATTTTATAAGCATGTAATCCAATCTAAGACTTTAGCTGCCTGTGGAACAGTTTCTGTAAAGTAAATGCCTTTTCGTTCTCTGAAGTATCGAAAATATCAATAAAGACCACTGGGGGGAGCAAGTGACTCGTGCAAATCTCTCTGGAGATTCAAAAGACCCCTCGGTGGACAGCATAGGAAATTTAAACGCTTAAGTATCTAAAATTTAAGAATTAATTTGGTGCCTAAATAATTATTTACGGTTCAAAACATAATCGTATTCCTTGTGGCATCTGCACTAAAGGTATATCTCATTTCTAATTTATCTTTTCCATTATCTTGTGGGCCCGACGTTTTGCTTTCATTCCCCTTAGCTAAGCCCCTTGTCCCTATTGTCACCCTTTTTAAAAATATCTTTGGTTTTCAGTTACCAGCTTCAGCTATAGTATACTCCCTCAGCCTCACAGCAAATCCAGTGAGGTGCAACCTGAGATCCCAAGGGAACAAGACTGCTGGTAAACCTGTGCTGTGAGATGGCAAGAAATTTCCCTGGCAGCAGGATAAGCGAGGGGCAGTATCGGGAAGTCGTGAACCTGATGCTGCCAGGTATGAGTGGAGTAGTAAGAAAGGACACGTTAAATTTGCGTGAGAATCTGTTCTGCAATGGTTAAACCGGGCACGGACTCTGTCAACTGTTGGGGAATAGCCACAGTAGTGATGCTGTGGGCCACAGTGATGGATCACTGATGTAGTACTATCATTTGTGTGAAACGGGAAGAAAAACAGTGTAGCGCTTCCTAGAGGATCTTGCAGAGATGCCCTCACCCAAGCAAACAGGTTGATGTGAAAATTTTCCTTCAGAAAGTTTCAAACCGACCTGCAGGAGAGATGTTTTGCCTAGGGGACAGGCTAAACCCAGCCCAGGAAACCTCAAATTATGTCCCATGGAAGTGTAAAGATCCCCAGAACTTTTACGTGCTTATCTGCTCCATTTGTATTAAATGTCATGCTAATATACCCATAGTCACAAAAGCCCAGGATAAAAAGGAGCGAACAGGAAAACTTCCTCCTTCCCACCCAGGGGAATCAGCTGCTGTCCTATTTTGAACTGGACAAATTTAATGAGGTGTGGTCTGGTAGACATCCTCATGGCCAAGTCCTGATGGGAGGGTACATACTGCTGTATTGACAAAGGAACAACTGAAATGAGGTGTCCGAACAAATCGCTGCTGACCATTCTGCATGAAACAAAAACCATTTAACCTGCAATGCACAGCAGGTCCACTGTTATTAGCCAGTTATAGCTCTCTCTTTTCAACTAGTCGTAACTAAGGCCATATGTTGGTCTATAAGCTTGGCGTACACATACACTTTGCACTGCAACAACTAGGTTAATGGAAGTGTGATTTTGCTTTTTACCAGAAGAATGATATCCTCAGTAACATAACTGGATGCAATCACAGGGTATATCTTACTTCCATGCTTTAGAGAAATAAAGAATATCAGCATAAATACTTCAATGTATTGGTTTTACTTTTTCACTGGTAAGTGAAGGTCTTGGTTGGATATTATTTCACAGTTTTATGCTAAGGCAAACCCATTTATATCCGGGCAAGTGCAACCAACAAATTTTACGTTCATGAAATTTTACAATGAGGTGCTGTGCGATGTGGTGCACTTCACATTGGTTTGTGTGCAGTTATAAGACAAATGGGTACAGGAGAAAAAAAAGCACTTATTGAAACTTACATTTATAGTGTTCCTTTTTTAATATGTGAAATGGCAAACTGATTTATTAGGCATTCACCTGGCAATGAGTGCTACACAGACATATTACATAGCCAAGGCCTCAGTGTGTTACATTTTTAAGGCAAGGAAGAAGGAAATGTGTACTAGACTACCTAAGAATAAATGCTAAAATTACAAAATTTTAATTTGAAAACTGAAGTCTGATTTCAGGTGTATAAAAGGAGCCTTAAAATTGTACAAAAATGAATGTATTGTAGTTATTCTAAAAGACCACCAATTGGCATTTACTTTTAATTGTATTCCATTAAGCCCCCAAAATTATCTTCTTCTGGCACTTACCCTATCACATCGCCCACTTATTTCTAGGAAAGATGTAAATAATTAATACTTTTAAAAATAAAATCTAATCGAATAAAACCTTATGCAGTTAAACCCCCTAATATTTAGAATAGGCAAGGCAAATAAAATGCATTAACTGCCAAATAGGTTGTTTCAGGGAGCGAGTCTGCATAACTTAAAGCATTAAATAGGAAGTTTTCAACCTAAATGTTACTGTTTAGAAGACGAGATAAACCCCAGTGATTCACAGTCGGAGGTGGAACAGTCAGGGCAGTAACCTCCATTTTATATCTTGTTTTCTACACTAGCGATGGTTCTACAAAACAGGCACTTTTGTCTCCTCTTTGGTCCAATTAAGTTTCCCAATGAGGCAAAAGGAAAACTCACTGGCTGTAGAGTTTTTTCTCCAGAAATCAAAGTATTTGAGATTTTCCTAATCGATTGAAACATTGTATA